CACAGGAGAAAGTTTATATATAACCACATTTACAGTGTTCATGAGAAGGAAGAGCTACATCACAGGAGAAAGTTTATATATAACCACATTTACAGTGTTCATGAGAAGGAAGAGCTACATCACAGGAGAAAGTTTATAAATAACCAAATTTACAGTGTTCATCAGAAAGAAAAGTTACAACACAGGAGAAAGTTTATAAATAACCACATTTAAGGTGTTCATCAGAAGGAAGAGCTACAACACAGGAGAAAGTTTATAAATAACCAAATTACAGTGTTCATCAGAAGGAAGGAAAAGCTACAACACAGGAGATAACCAAAGTGGGGTTAACATCAGTAAGAAAAGCAGCTTGAAAACATACATACAAGACCAACTTAAAGTCAGTGGTAATAAGAGAAGGGAGAAAAGTGCACTGTTAACTGTATTTCAAGACAAACTTAATTGTGAAAACAAAGAAGACAGAACAAAGTCTTCATCATTAAGAAGGAAGAAGACAACCTTAATATGATACATTGATACTTCTTAAAAACACAAATGACCCTGTTTCTAAACTATTTAAATAGTAAACACATTAATAAGAAAATTGCAACTATCATTTTTGGATGTTTGATAGATAATAATAATAATAATGCAGTCTGCAGAACATTTACTGGCCTATAATTCCATTACAATAGTTTCATTCTGGATTTTTATAAGGAGAATTTAATTAAAATTGTAGTTCACAGGCACTTAAAATTTGTAGTAATTTTTTTATTTATATTGAATGAATAAAGAAAAAAAAAGATCAATCTGTGGCCAAAAGGAAAAATAGAAATGAAACTACTGTAGTCTTTTCTGTTTACACAGTTTGGTTATTATGTATAAAATATGTGTATGTGTTACTCTTCTCCAGAACTAGAATTGGTAATTTTCTTGCTTTATCACAAACATTACACACATCTAGAAGAGATTTGCATAAGTTCATTCACCAGTTTTATCCACTTTCAGAAAATTTCAAACTTTTCTGTAACCTCAATCTTCGTCCAGCAATATAAAAAATAAAAAAAATGCAGGAATTCTTTTTTCTTAATGGAATGAACGTGAAAAAATTGTGTGTGTGTGTGTGTGCACACTTTTGCAAAATTTGATTGTGAAAAATTATAACATCTCCCCTAAAATGATTTTTAAAATAACCTGTATTTTGTCATTATTCGTCACTAAGGAAGAAACTCCAAAATGTATACAAGAGAACACCAAATGGAGTAATGAACACTAGACTGAGAATTTTGTAATGCAAGTATATAGCAACCATGGCCAGCAAATCCTTACTATATTTTCCACACATTTTCTGGATCTACATGGATGAGAAAATTACCTACTTCATTTTAGTTGTAAATAAATATTCTTGAAAGCATGCAACATCAGCAGTGAATGAGAAAGAACATCAACTAATAAAAATACCCTCTTGTCCTTCATCTGGCCACTTTTGTATCCAGAGTACATTATGTATAATTTGGTTCAGAATGACAATGCCATTTTGTGTTACTGCTGCTTATGGTTCTTCCTAATACTTTGTTATCATTAAAATTTAACACATTTAATTCCATGGCATCTGTTTGATAATGTATGTAATATTAGCAACATCCTGATCTACATATTACTTCCCTACGTTAGTTGCTTCTCTTTAAAGGTCTGATACAATGTGAGTATTAAATGCTAAGTTTGTTTTATTTTGCTGTGCTTATGAGATACCAGCAACTGTTTGAGCTAAAGCAGAATTTGGTCTTCTTTTTAATTTTGCTGAAGCATTTGTGGATGGATTTCACATATTTTTATTTTATGTAAATACAAGACATGACACATTATAATCATTATTGTTTAACTATTTTATTAATGTCCTAATTCACCTAAGAATCATCCTTGAATTACATTGAACAAAATATGATATGGTGAGTTAAGTGCTAAGTTGACTGTAAATTCAACTTTACAGCACATGAATAAAATGATACAATTTGATTATGAATGCCAAGTTGTTTATTTTGCAGGGTTTATGAGATACCACCTGCTGTTTGAGCTAAACAAAATTTGGCTTTTTTTTTTTCACTAAACGTTTTTGGATATTCTGATTTTATTACTATACAAATGGTTACCATATACTATTGTGTTGTGGTTCTTACGTCATTCTGCATTAACAATGAACTCGGGCCTCAGCCTGTAAATAAGCAAGATTGTTCTTATTCAGAGGCTCTGTTCATCATCAGACCTTGCCAAGATCTTAAACCAATTAGATGGACTTTGTAGATGTCCAAAAGCTTGTGGCCAGTGGAGATAGGAAGTTAGAGATTTAAATTTAGGTTAATAATATTTAGTTTATATTAGGCTGTGTCATATAACTTTGTTTCTTTTGTTAGTATGATGTTAGAATGCTATATTCTGAATATATGATTATGATATATTTAACTCTAGTTACAGGATCAGTCAATTTGATCTAGTTTATGACCCCAAAGTGACCATCATAGTTTCCATACTATAATTTCTAATATGTTGTGTATCTTCACAAATTTTGAAAAGCTTTCAGTAAACATTACAAGGATTTTGTCTACAAAAAATTAAACTTTTTAATTAAGTATTTTGACCAAAAATTTGTCCGTGAATATACAGAGCCAGAGTGTTGACTGCAAAGCGTTTTTCATGTTAAAACTAAATATAATTTTCTTTATCTGAAAATTATGAACTTTCATTTGCATAATCTCTAAAAACCTCCTAATTAAATATAAAACGTTTTTTCAGTAAAACTTCATATTTTATCTCTTATTTTCTCTACCCTAACTTTATACCCATTCAGTTATTTGATCAACCTCATAAACATCATTAAAAAAATATGAAATAAATCTAAATTACCCTTTTTTCTAGAATGACTGCAAATTGTAGCATGAAACTGCAATTTTTTATCCTGAATTGTTTAAAGCTGGTAACAATATACATAGTTTATATTTAATATTATTGTTTTATTGCCCTTTGAACAATGTAACTAATAAGCTTACCACACAAGATGTAAATCACTCAGCAAACACGTAGTTCATGATACTGTATCAGATTATAAAATGCATGAGCTGCTTTTGAGCAAACATCATGAAGAATTTTTATTATTATTATTAATGATATCTTACATAATCTAACAAAACAAGTTTCTAATTTTTACCCTTTAGTTACTTTCATAATAATAAATAAAGAATACACATGAAAAACAAGAAATTTGGTACTTACCTGTGTCCTCTTGTTTTTGGCTGTCAACTGGCGATGAAACTAAAAGCCTACTTTTTCTTTTTTATACTAATAGTACTAATAAAAAAATTTATATTTAATTAACCCTCTCGGACTGACAAATCCAAGAGCATATGTCAGGACATTTTAAGAGTTACATTCAAAATGTAATTAAACTACTTTATTATCATTGTATACAAATACCCTTGGTATCAAAATGTAGTTAATAAATTAATTTTAATATTATACAAGTTTTAAGTTCTATATTTTATAAGAAAATATTAAAAAGCAATCCTAAATCTCCCCTAGTATGAGAATTGTGACATTTGCTTTCTAGATTTTCCCTCTTCTCTTCTCTAATTTAATTTGAGTAGTATTTTGTACAGTTTGAACAGTTTTTGCAATTACTGTCACATCAACTCATTTGGGGCAAATCTGTTGAATTCTTTAGTAACATCAGAACTCAGATTAATAATATATTTCTTGCTGTTTTTAATAACTATAACTGTGAATACAAAAAATGTCATTAAGGTTTTAATACTTTACAGTTGAGAGTACTGTGATCTTTAAATCTGATAAGAGAAAAAGCATTTAATATTAGACAAAGATGATTATTCAAAGAGAGATGAAGATACTTTACGTAACTTTATAATACAATGAAGTTGATGTGTAAACATATAACTAAAATATAATAC